ATACAATCATCACTGATGCATGGTAGTAAGCAGTTATACTCACAGAGAGATTTAAAGCCACATGGACAAATGCCCTGTAGTATTTCAGCACTGAGAAACGCCTCTCCTGGCAAGCTGCAGAGGGGACCACAGCCCACACAGCTTCACGGCTCTCTCTTTCAACTTGCTTAGGCTACTGACACCCAGAATTGCTTGACAGATGCATTTCTTTCAAGCTCTTTCAATTTCCTTTAACAAAGGACAGAAGTTTCTGTCAGCAGATAGGAGCTGAGCATGCAGCGAGGACTGGTCTCATCACAGAGCTGAGATCAGTGTAGCTAGGGATGAGTCACAGAGCTGCGTATGAATAATTTCTAGAAAAAAATTAAAAGGTAGAAGAAAATTTGTGGACATTCTGTCCTGAGCAAGAAGAGGTGTTACACGATAAGCAGTCTTCCATGTATCCCATAATCGACTGTATTCAGATGCATTTTCATTCACTGTGAATTGTCAGCTCATTTTTGGAGCTGACAGCTTTGACAAACATTGCTTTCTCTGCACACGGTTCAAGTTGTGTCATGCACATTTTTATTCTTCTCAGGTTTCCTTTTGAACAAAGCACAGTTTGGGGGAATTTGTTTTCAAAGCTCAGTTCCAACAGTATTTTTCAAAATTCTATTATAACACCTACAGTAAAACAATCCAATCTTGTTAAAAACGCTTGGCTTTCTGCAAGTCATGTAAACTACAGCAGTTTCACCACCTGCTGCCTACAGTGGGTGCATTTACAATAACACTCTAGAACAAAAGCGGACTTCCAAAGCAAATCTCCTGCCTACTCCCCGCTTACCAGACGTTTGGTTCAGAAGTTTTTCAAAGTGTGACTTGTCTTTGTCGCAAGTTGTGACAAGGTATGACTTGGATCCACCTCAGCTGAAATTAAACAGGAAATGTGCACCTAGTTGCTAATGGGCATTCAGCCTGTGGGACCACACAGAGCTGGTCTTGGAGATAAAAATCATCTGAAATACTGCGGGCATCCGGTCCACAGCCCCTGCCCCTCTGTTTCGCTCTATTAATCCACTTCTATTGGTTTCCAATATTTGCTGATATAGACACAACCAATATCTGCTCCATCACTTGCAGGATTTATGCAAACAAAATGCATTTTACTTTTCAAATATATTTTGAACCATCATGATGAAACTCCAGTTCCTTCTGGAATTATCTGTATTTCTATTCTAGACAGGAGCCTGATTATGTTTAACTATGAAAGGCTCTGGTCCTTTCATAATGATACAACTTCTCAGTAGTTACGTAATTGATGATGCTCTTGAGCTAAGGAATGAACTTGGAATCTTGGTCCTCATCAGTGTGCTCAGTATCATCTTCCTACAGTGTCTTCTACTTAGAGAAGTTTTTGCATCATACTTGCCAAAAAGAGCTTCCATATTGCCAGAGTTACTCCCGCTCAGATGCCAAGATCATTGTGTATAATGCTGGAACTGTAGGCAATAATATTTTCCTTCACTTATTTAGTTTTTCAGTTGCACCAACTGCTGGATCACAAAGAAGAAAATTGATCAAAAGTTGTTAAATACTTATTCAAATTAAAAAATAATCACTGATCTGGCAGGGGGAGGTATTTAATTTGTCTTAACAGTGGGACAGTGGGATGTCTTCTTTCTTGTCTTTTGCAACTGTGAAAGTACTTTTATTTTTGTATGATTTTGCTTAACATTCATATAACTACAATAGTATTTTTCTTTTTGTCAATCGGAGAATAGCAGAAACCATATTTGCATCTCCTTCATATATATTACACACAGATTAGCCTCTTGCTGTATCTACTGACAAGTGTATTACAACATGTAATTACATGAAGATCACTTTTCTAAAATTTTCTTTGGGGCAGAAGAATTTGCAGATGCCATAAAATTTCAGTAAAGGGCAAACTGAAAAGCTCTTTATGAAAGGGGTACTTTTTACATACAATAAGTTGCTTGACTAATTTGTCATTGTTTCTGCATAGAAGAAAATGTAGAATATTATCAAATCTTTTTTTTTTTTTTTTAGCAAGCCCACCTCAGAGGATTGAGGCCATATAGGGAGACAGGAAATAATGTTCTTCATCAGACCATGACTTCTCCACTTTCTTTATGGCAATATTAACAATTCTTCACATCCAGAATGAAAAAAAACAAACTTTCCCAAGTAGACAACAGGCATTGCTGCTGCCAGCCTACAGCTGGCATCCTGAATAACTCCACATACCTTGACTCAGGACGCTGTGATGGATTATAGTGCTTGACACAACACTGTCTTCTGGGATGTGTGAAAATTATTATTGCAGTCATTAGCTTTCCACTAGGGATTTGTTGTATTATGTGCTAAGGCACAGATAGTAATAAGACTACTGAGTCAAAGAATTTGCATTCTATGTAATAAAACCTGAAATACAAAATATGAGGCTAGGAAAAGTGGAAGGAGATTATCATTTCTTTTAGTTTGTTTGTTTAAATGAACTTCACAGTGAATAGTGGAGTATTTAAAAGGAAAGTACAAACTTGGGAAAGTTTTTATTCACCAAAATAAACATGTAAGAAAGTGCAAAAAAGTGCAGCAGTGAGAGAGAGAGAAACAAGGAGGACTCTTGGTCAATTACAGTATCACTGGTGGAGAGAGCAGAATAAGGGAGACGCATGTTGGAAAAAGATTCATGGTGATAATCCTAAAGGAGAGCTTGCAGGTGGGGAGAGGGATTGGAGAGGTCAATGGAAGGAGAGAGGAGATTGCTCCTCCCTGGGGAAAGCTGCAGGAACCTCTGGAAACCATGGGCTGTGACAAAAGGAAGGAGTGAAAGAGGCACCACACAGAGGGGGGAACTCAGGCTGACTTCTGAGGGATGGCGCTGGGCAGCTAACCAGGCCAAAAACGCCCTCCGAAATGACAGGGAGGGGCCTGAAGAATCTGCTGCAGCTTGGAAAATTACTGAGCTGGCTGAAGCCAAGCATGGAAACAAGGACCCGTCTGAAAGGACACAAGGGGCAGGCTGAGAATTGCGTACAAATGCTTGTTACTTCTGTTCTGCCTGACCCTATCTGAAAGCTCTCTTGTATAAAAAGTTAAGTATTCTAACTCATATTCAAATAAATTTGGATTTATTGGGTTTAAAAGAAAGACATTTGTAATTGTGATATTTGCCATATGAGATCTTAGCAGATTAATCTCCAAGTTTTGGTTGACTTGGTCTCAAAATCTATTCAGGGAAGCTTTTGAGAGAGAAAGGTGAATATTGTTAGCTGCTCTTTTCTTATGACAAATACAGTAGAAATCAGAATCTTACATTTTTCACCCAGGTGATAAACTATACTTCATAGTTAATGTCCAAGAAAAGCATTATTTGAGGAGGAGCTGGGAAACTTATACAGTGTGATATTCCCAAGGGTAGAAATACAGAGTCATAATCCACAGCTGCAGGAAACTCGGATTCATAATATTGCAACTAAAATTCATTTTGGTTCCCTTGAATGTTATGCCTAACAGTTTCTTCTGCTCCCATTTGAAAGGCGTAAAAGAGTTTACATATCATCTGACCTGCGGTACTTCTGGTTTGGCAAGGTGATATTGGTAACTTGCTTTACTCAATATTTCTTGAATAATTTAGCTCAGCTTTGTTTCTAGGTAGCTAACTATCCAGATGAGCATCTTGTATTACTGCCTATTGTCATGGTTACAGCATTGGCTGCATCTGGTCTCCTTTTCTGAGTTTTCTGTGTGCAATATGAGGCCTGTTGTTGCCTGGGGTACAATACAGCAAATCTTCTGCTAAACAGACTGGGATGTACTACAGCAGCCTATAAATGAGCACTGCCTCGTTTAAGCCTATCTAACAGCCTTCAAATGTGTACCTTTGATGCATTAATATTAGCTCTTAACTGCTTGATACCAAAAGCGTTTTATATTTTTGTATGTCTGTACAGTCAACCTTTGATTGTAATTAGACTCTTGAAGTGTTACCAGAAAAAAAAATATATATATGGTGGTGTGTGTGTATGTAAAACAAAAATGTAATATTATGTATACTACTGTATTATACAAATACATAATCAAAAGATTCTCAGAACAGCTCTGAACCCATCGCACTGATACCTTGAATACCTGAACATTTTCCATAGAAAATTTTGGTGTAATTCAAGGACTTGCAGCTTGTGTCCATTTTGTCTGTGTATAAAATTGTCTGCAGTGAAATACTGTGATGATCCCTGTGCTCTGGTAAATGTACCCTACTGAAGTGCAAAGCTTCCCATCCGCTCTTGCCTGGTTGTAGAGAAACGTCTGAAGAGCTTAAGAACAGGGTCCTCTATGGGCAAAGGCAGGCCATATGTCCACACACTTTAGCCATTGCATTGCTAACCTTTTCCCTTTTGAAATCACTTTTCCTTCTTTCATTTGCATAAATATATTTTAAAGATCTTACTAGTTTTGTTTATTTAAAGATCATATTGGTGGATTGACTTTCATGGACAGAAACAATGTTGGAAACATTCTGGTGATAAAAAGAGCTGTCCAGAAAGGAAGATTTTGCAGCAGTTACCAAAGATTTTTGAATTATAGTTAGTTTGATCTGAAAATATATTTCATTCCTCTTTTGTATTGTTGCATACAGTGTGTACATTTTTCTGTTTTCTTCTTTCTCTGTGGATTCATGATCTTATATGCTTCACTTTTAAAATGGTCAAAAGGTGGTCTAATTCTGAAAGTTAGGGTGCAAGTTTTCTGTGCTGAGTTATTATGTTGCTCATAAGGCCTAAGAAGGAAGTGTTCTGATCACATATTATAAACTGTATCTTAACATTCAAATACATATATATTCCTACATATAATTTTATACTTTATATATATATACACACACATATATATACACATACAAGTTTTAAAGAGTTTATAAGAACCAGTTTAGGTTTTAAATGTCCCATTCAATGCATGTAACTATTTATTCCAAATAATGTCATTTCTAGGAACTTTGAACCAAAAGAACTGGGGAAAGAAATATTCATCCTGCAATGGTGCCAGACAATCTCCTATTAATATAGATGAAGATCTTACCCAAGTAAATGTGAATCTGAAGAAACTTAAATTCCATGGGTGGGAAAAGGAAACTTTGGAAGACACATTCATTCACAATACTGGAAAAACAGGTAAAGGATTCAGATTTCATGTGCAGATTTGAATGAGTCAGAAAATTGATATAGGACAGGTAAGCCAAGGACTTTAATGTTTTTTCATTTTCTGTTTTATTTTTCCATAACATTTGTGTTTCTAAGTACATCCATAAAAGCAAAGCAAAACAAAACAAACAGATGATAGCAGTGGTCAAGTGTAATAGAGAAGTTACTAAAACAGAAAAAAAAAGAAAAAAAGAAAAAAAAAGGAAATATATGCACAAAAAGAAGGAAATATATGCACAAATAGAACCAGAGCAATCACATGATTACTATCATCTCATCATGAGTACTTTATTGACTCTAAACAGTAATTTATCATTTGCCACAAAATGATTACTACTATTATATATGTAGAATATTTAATGAGAGTGGAAAAAAATGATACTCATACTTTTTTAAAGTATGAGTAAATTAATCATCTAGAAGCTCTTCATGGACTAGCTGTGGTTTCAAATACGGAGGATGGAATTCAATTCACCTGTCTTTAGACGTCTGTAATTAGACCCTTGCATCTAAATTACTCACATTATAGTGCAAGAATTAAAATAGGTGCTTTGATGATCCAATGGTCTAATCTATCATAGAAATGTATTTTAGGAAGAGATGAATTATGCCTACAAATGCCTACTTTAAATTACTGCAAAAGAAGCTTCTGGTGGCATTTGCGTTGCCAAATGAATCTTTTTACAACCGCTTTGCTGTATAAATCTAGAATATTACCGTGAATTGCTTGTTTGGAAGCACTTTGTTTCAGGAATAAGCATGGAGTAAGAAATCTCTTAATGATCATCGCCAAGCTTCTACTAGATACTGTAGGAGCGATTGACTAGCCATTTTATTTTGTTTTAGTGTCATTGTTCCTGGTTTCTGTTCTTCGTACCATCAAGTACTTCCTACACAGTGCTCAAGAAATTGTTTATGCCCCTCTTGTCCTTCTAGCGGAGATAAATAGTTCATTTCTCCTTAAATGAGAGCTCTGAGTTCTGAGTCTTTAAAGACTTAAAAGTGATCAGAGCTTTTCCTCCCCTTTCAGATATTATAAAGGGAACTGCTAAGCCCTTCTGTTAAATTTGTCTTCAAGGTCTTGAGAGGAGGAATGAGACTGCAATCCACTTACACTGTTTTAGCAAGAGGTCAAACAATTCACAGTCCACAGAGGTGGAAAAGCCAAATGTGGAGTTTAAGTCTTTCCCACTCTTCTAATTCCCTGCAGTAAAAAAATGCTCAGTCTTTTAACAATTTGCATACTGCTACTACAGCCTGGTGAAGACTTGTCATCACCTATTTCCATGCCAAAATGTTTTACAACTAGGGCTCTCACAGACAGGACAGTCTTCCTTGTAACTGGATAAAATTTTCATTTGTAGTTTTGCCTCCCAATATGTATCTAGAATTAAAATTAGTGGCAGATGTCTCTTTTCCTTACAACCACATATGCTTTCAGGAAGCATTATATTTTAGGGATTTCTTTTCTTAGAGGGACATTTTCATGACTAAGCCATTTTTTATGAGCTTAGGTTTAGTGTGATTCTGTGGCTAGTTTCAGATGACAGGGGTTTGTAAAAATATTTTACTTCATTGGATAGTTATTTCATGACTTGCAACATGAATAAAAATGAAATATATTAAGTCAATATTAACACCCCTTTTACTTGGTTTAGATAATCAGCTTTCCATGAAATTGCTTATGGACTGCAGAAAAAGAACCTTAAAATATTTCCCTATTTTTTACCTTATTTCGCTAACGTCATAGGTGCCTTGGCTGGCTTTTATATTGACCGTCCTTTTCTCTCTGTCTCTCTTTATCTTCAGTGGAAGTTAACCTGACAAATGATTACTATGTAAGTGGAGGTGGCTTAGACACAATATTTAAAGCAAGCAAGATCACATTTCACTGGGGAAAATGCAACATATCATCTGATGGGTCAGAACATAGTTTGGAAGGCAGAAAATTTCCTCTTGAGGTAAGGTACAGAATAGATTTTAAGGAAGTGACTATCTGCTGATGTCACAATGTTTATTTAATAACTTTATCACATATTTAAAGGCTATTTCTGTGTATAATCATCACAAATCAAAATTAATATTTAAATGATATATGATTTGAACACAAAAATGTGAGGCACACTGAAGATGTTTAACTGTGCATTTTCACACATGCATTTTAAGAGTGCATTACAGGTTGCTCCAGCTAATCTGATAAAGGCCAAACTCCCCATAACAGTTAAACTCCTTAGAGCCCATCTTATTGTACAGTAAAGGATTATTTGAAGAGCAGAGGCGCTTTCTCAGAGCTGGCTCACTGTAGGGAGTCATTAGGAGTGAGGAGCCGCTGCGCTGCATGGAGTCAAAGTCTTTGCCAAGCTTGGACCCAGGAGCTAGAAGACCAGCCAGGAGCCAACGCATGAGAGAAGCTCAGGGATCCTGTTGAGTTCCTGGTGCTGCTAAGGATTCTCCAGTTGGTTGCTTCTCCCACAGACATAGGATGCTTCCTCCCAGCTTGCAGGGAGAATGCAAAGGAGGAGAGGAGCAGCTTTTGATGAGTTGTGTGCCATGGGGATGCTCTGATTGTAGACTCTTAACCCTCAAAGAGGCTGTATACTGACATTTAGACCAAAAAGTGCAGCTGTGGCACCCAACCATGCTGCTCCTCACTCAAAGCACTGTTGGTGTTGGAGCAAAGCAGTGAGGCTGTGGTGGTCTCTTCCTCTGCTCCATGGAGAGCTGTGGCCATCACGCTGCCCTGCCTCAGAGCCATTGTAAAATTTCCTGCCAAGGCATCAAGCAGAAGATGCTGCTGCATTTCTGTCTCAACTCTTGCCTTGTATCTGTGACCTTGCATGAGAAGGGATTTACCAGCTGCAACAGAGGCAGCTAGACTGGCACCAATGCCCAGGACTTCACTTAAATGAGGTCCCAGAATATCTGGCAATTTTTTATTACCATTACTTCTCTAAATTTACTCTGAGACAGGTTCTATACGGAAATTCGGCCTTGTTGTAACTTATGAGATGATTTCCCCTGACTTAGAGACTAACCTCTAAATCAGATGTCCAATATAAGCTAGTTATCTGGACTTACTGTGTGGTTGATGGCAAATGACATGCTCCTTGAAAGGATAGTTCCTGCAAACTTAATGGTCTTCTAAAACTGATAGTCCATAGGCAGGTAAAAACTGATTAATTCCATTCTGAATCTTTGATAATGCATGTGAGACATACAACAAATCCATGTACTCATAGTAAACTCATTGCTTGAAGATTTTTCTCAGACTAGGAGTATAAGTAACTGTATTGTTTTTAATATGTATTTTATATATGTAAAATTTGAATATGTTTTATTTGCAGATGCAAATCTACTGCTATGATGCAGATCAGTTTACAAATTTTGAAGAGGCAATCAAAGGAAATGGAAAGTTAAGAGCTTTATCAGTTTTGTTTGAGGTAAACAAAATATTTCTTTGTGGCATTAAATAAGCTTTAAAATGTAGCAGATGTTCAAACTGAATTTAACTAGTTCCAATGTATGATCAGTGAGTCAAAAATTTGCATGTTTTCCTAATTTATTTTCACAAAAAAAAATCAGACAAACATGCTTGTTTTGCTTTATCTAAACTATAGTTTTCATGGTAAAATGTGACCTTCTATTTTTTCATAAAGCCTGTTTTGAAAAAAAAAAATACAATTTCTTTTTAACAGATTGGGCCAGAAGACAATCCGGATTACAATCCAATAATTAATGGAGTAGATAGTGTTAGTCGTTTTGGTAAGTTTATTCCTATGATTTATTGATTATTGATTAGACTAAATTAATTTCAGCATAATTATGAAAACTGTCTTGAAGGGGTTGTTGTATGAAGATTGCTAAAGCTTAGCTGAATATATGTTATTAGAAACAAAAATATTTATTTATTTAACTTACTCCAAAGCTGAAAATATTTGTATTAACAACAGTAGGTATAGATGAATAAATACAACTATCACAAGGAATTTACCACACTCTAAATGCTGATTTATTTTGTGGTGTTTCTTAGTAAAACATTTCTGAATTTCGTATACTGTAAGAAGGCAAATAACACCATTGGAGCAATCAAAGATGTACCTTACAAGCATTAGCTATATGAATATTAGCATTCTGTACAATCTGTGGAGGTCCAGCCAGACCTCACTGTCCACTCATCTAATCCACACTTCCTAAGCTTCCCCATGAGGATGCTACGGATGATGGTGTCAAAAGCCTTGCTGAAGTCAAGGTAGACAACATCCACAGCTCTCCCATCGTCCATCCAGTCCGTCATCCCATTGTAGAAGGCTATCTGGGCTTATTTCTAACTCAGTATCATGGTCGCTTCATAGAAAAATATGAATGTGCGCTGTCTTCAGC